CGACCCTCCCGTTTTAATTTCATCCTCCTCGAACGCCTGGGTGCCGCGTACGGACGCTTTAAAAAATATGCAAATTTTTTGACGGGAAAGCGATCTCGGGAACCACATGAGCCAAGGGGCTGAAACTTTGTAGGGATATTCCTTCTGCAAGTACTAGCTGAAGATTTCAAATTCAGCCTCCAGATATGCGTGTACTCATGTAAATGCATATGAAAGTTTCAAGGGGGAATTGCTATCTCGGGTACCAGGAAGCTAGAAAGCTGAAATTTTGTAGTAATGTTCCCTATCGAAGTACAACTCAAATATTTCAGATTCAGCCCCAAGCTATGCATGGTCCTCACGTAAGGGCAAATGAAAGTTTCTGCAGGAAAATTACTAACTCGGCAACCAGAAGAGCTAGAAGATTAAAATTTTAGGCGGATGTTCCCCTGTCCACATGCAATTTAAAAATGTCAAATTCAGCTTTCCAAGCACATGGAGTACCCAAGTACGGGTATGTAAAGGTTTTGGCGGGAAAATTGCTAACTCGGTAATCAGAAAAGCTGGAAAGCTGAAATTTTGAGGGAATGCTTCCTGTCCAAATACAACTTAAGTACTTCAAATTCAGTCTTGAGATATACTTGGCTCTTATGTACGGGCACTTAAAAGTCTTGACGGAAAAATTTCTCGCTGGATAACTAGGTTACTTTTTAAAGAACGACTGTTAGATGGAAATTATACATTTACTTTGCAAAATTAATGGTAATTTATGCTAGTGACCGCAAAAGGTAGGTGTAAAGCAACAGCCATTCATATAGTTAATGACCTGAGGACTTCAAGTCCGGTGTAAAACGCATGATCGCACGGGCCCGCCCGGTGCGTTGCAGTCTGGGTTTTGCATGAAATCCGATCGTTTCTCCCATGAATGCTCGTTCATTGAAAAAATGCAAATTTAAAAGAAGTCGGAAGATGATTATGAAACTTGCAAAATGCACTCGCTTTTGGGTTTGCAATAGAACTGAGTATTTGTCATGTCTGCGTCCAGGGAATTTCATCGCCAAGCTGAAGTAGCCATACGTGAATATAGAATATCCCTGCAAAGATTCAGCGTCTCTGATGTGCGAAATAACCACTTCACCACAAATATCTTTGAAATGCCATAACTCGTGGTGCAAGTACAAATCGAAACTCCATTTAGATGTACAATTTTCCAAACGAACAATAAATATTCTGACAAAATTTCACCTTCTGTTTTCCGGTTAGTTTTCGACTTTATGCGCTGCACAGCGTGCACAATGGCTGAGTTTGCTTCAACTCATACATGGACAGAAAATATCCCAGCAAAATTGTCTGGTTCACGAAATCGTTCCCTGAAAAGAAATTAAACATTCTTTTTGGGGGCCCATACGCAAGTTTCAGGCGTAGGAGATTTTAAACAGGAGGATGACACACGAAGTGGGAATATTTCTCCAAAATTTCAGCCTCCTAACCTTCTGGTTACCACTTCCAAGCGGTAATAAAGCCCACTCGCTTCCGAATGTACGCACGCACACACACGACT